TCCTGGGAGCCTTTGGAACGCTCTTGGGGCAATTTTAGGTGAGGCCGATCAAAAAACAGGGGTTCCCTAATTCGCCCCCCTTTCCCCCCGTCCCCCTTCCCCCCATGTCCAGAGCTCCAAAAGTCGCCTCATGGGGCGCTCTTGGGCCGCTCTTGGAGCGCTCTTGGGCACTCTTGGGGCCATTTTGGGGCTGTCTTGGGTCTCTCCTGGGGCCCTCGTGGGGCCAGCTTGGAACCATCTTGAGGCATCGGATGGTCATCGGAAGCGAACATAACGTTGATGTCCCGTGGGTTGTGGACGGATTTTGGCACCTTGGGAGGCCTCCTTGGAGGTTTCAGAAGCGTGTTGGAACCGTCTTAGAGCGTTCTTGGGGCCTCTTGGAGCACTTTGGGAGCCGACTTGAGCCATCTTAGGCTATCTTGAGCCGGTTTGGAGGTCATCATCGGATCCCTAAGGCCCTCTTGGAGCCATGGGGCGAAACAGTACCTTCTGACACCTCGCGGGGCGCCCCGTCCAGGTTCAGGGGATGGGGTAGGGGGGAGGGTTGAACCCCTCCCCGAAAGGAAAGAAAAGGGGCTGAAGAGGAGTTTCCTTAGACCACCTACGCCCAGAGGTCTGGTGGGGTTTTTCGCAAACCGCATGGTTGAGCCCATTGGCGTTGCCATGCGACGCTCCCCGACCACATCATTGAGCCCGACGGTTTTTTCCTGCGGCCCGACACGGGGTGGCCTCCAGGATTGGGCGGAAGCGATCGCACAATACCTTCAGCAGGATCAGCCCGAATCTCGTGCTGGTGGCCAGCGCGGCAATCCTGTGCATCCGCGGAGTAGCAGCGCACACAGAGACGACTCGCTCCACGAGCGCGAGAGCTCGCAGCATTCGAAGAACCAACAACAACGGCATAAACATAAACGTTTGGAGGTCCGCGCGGGTTTCTTGGATCGCCGCTGGACCCCCCCTCTGGCGTGCGAAGCGCGCCAGGGGCGCCGCCAGAGGCGACGCCAGGGGGGTGCAGCGCCGATCCAAGAAATTCGCGCGGACCTCCGAAAGTTGACGTTTGTGCAGCTTCTCGTTCCCCTGAGCACGGGCCCTCGTCGCGGAGCGGGCGTCTCTGAGTCTCGCCTCCCAGTTCCCTCTGGATACGTCGGGTGTCCGGGCCCTGGCCATCCCCGCGCCGACTTGCATGGTCTGAGCGGCCCCCTTCTTTCCCCTCTCGCGTTTTTTCCCTTTCGACTTCGTGCTGGGATTCGCCCCTGGCTCCGGTGCACTTTACCGCTTGCTGACCGTGCCTGACTGTCTCGGACCTTTTGGCGCCCGCGGACTCAGAAGTCTGGGCCCTGTTCCCCGACCTGCCGGCGCAGCCGAGCTGGCGAAGCTGACCGCGCGCGAGGGCCCGCTGATGCTGGGCGCGCCTCCTGGAGCAGGAGGGCTACTTACCACGGCCCGTTAGACAGCATGTGGGTCCTGGCAGCTTCCGCTCGTCTTGAATGGAGTATGTATCGGCGAGTACTTCCAGCAGTAGCGCCAACCAGCTTGCGCACCGCACCAAAATGGCGCCGAATGGTGCCCAAATGGCGCCCACGCAGCGCCCACTGGCGCCATGCGAGGCAGCTGTATCAAGCCCGTTTTGCACGACATTGGACGCGCTGCTGGGCGCCAGGGGGCGACGAGCAGCCGCCTCCGTGAGCTGCTTTCTAACGGCCCGCGCCCGGTGTCGGGGGGCTTTGTTGCGGGCAGTCGGCGCCAAGCCGAGCAGGCGGCGGCGGGGTTCAAACGGGGGTCAGTCAGAGCGCCGGATCTTGCAGGATCCTGCAGAACCATGGGCGCATTCACCCGGGCTTGGGCGCAGGATCCTGCAATGCCCGACAGGATCTCGCAGGATCCTGCAATGCCCGACTGGCCCAGGGCTGGATTGACCCGACGGCCCTCTTTCTGGCTACAGCGCGCGCCCTGCCACGGGGCCGCGACCGCGCTCCCCCTCGGGAAGACGGCCCGCGCGGGGGCCCGTCCTTCGGGCCGCCCCTCCCTGCCCACGCGCGCGGCGTGCAGGCCCCAGGGCTTCCCTCTGCTGGGCCCCATCGGCGCGAGCTACAGTCGGAGTGTTTGTTGGGTGTCCTTGTACATCCCGGGGAGGGTACCCTTGGGTGTTCTGTGTGTTCTCGCCAGCGGAGGGCTTCGTGTTCTTGAAGACTGTTCTTCTGCCCCAGGTCCGACCGCACCGCCGATGGCGCCTGGGGAGGTCGTCGGTGGACGCCGATCGCGGCCGGCCTCGGTCGATCGCCTGCCTCGGGTGTTCGCTCCGCCGCCCCTCCTGGAGCGGAGTGCCGAGCAAGTCTGAGCCAGACTGGCCACGGGGCCCTTCGAGTGGGCCCCGCGTGGCCTCGTCCTCGGCCGCGGGCGCCGGTCCTCTTCCGTGGCCCGCCGCTGAGCTCCGCCCGGGCCTGCGCAGTGCTGCTGCTGCCCAGCCGTGGCGCCCCGGGGCCTCGGCCTGCTGGCAGGCGCTGCGGCGGGCTGGGCCTGCGGCTGCGGCAAGGCGCCGCGCCGTCGGCATCTCCGAGTAGACGTGGTCGAAGGATCGCTCCGCCTCGCCGAGGCATCGGCGACGCGGCTCGATGCGGAGCCACGCCGATGGCGCCGATGCACGGCCGACGTCGCCGATGCGGCGCGATCCTCCGAGCCCATCTACTCGGACCCCATCTGGGAGGCCTCTAATGAGTGGATGTGGGCTGCGGATGGGGAGGTCAGCATTGAGGGAAGAATCACGATGACCACGACTAAGATGTCGCGGGATCTTTCCAGGCCTCCCAGGTGGGGTCCGAGCAGATGGTGTCGGAGGATCGCGCAGCATCGCCGATGCATCGGTGACGCTGCTCGACGTGCAGCCCAATTTCCTCCGCGCTGGCGTCGCCGATGCATCACCGACGTCGCCGATGCATCGGCGACGCGGCGCGATCCTCCGACCCCATCCCTGATCTTGGGAGTTCTCCAAGAATCACGATGACCACGACCAAATTGATACGGGATCTTGTCGACACCGATTTTGGCCATGGTCCATGTTCGCGAGGACGATCCACGGATTGGCGATGGCCAAGATCGACATTCTATGTTTGGTATCTTTGGACGGCGCCTGGGCTCCCAGGGGCATTGCATCCAACCCTTACATCCTTACATGGATCCGATCGTAAAAGGCAAGAACGCGCACATTGCCTGGGCAAGCAGCCTGTGGAGCTGCCAACGCGAGTTTCCAACGGCAACCTGAGCCAAAATGGCTCGAGCCTAACTCGTCACGGGTACGAGGGCAGGGCGGGGGAGGAGACAAAGAGACGGGATGACGGTTGAGGACGAGCAGGCGTAGGGGAAGAGATGGTTTTCTTTTCCCCCTTTCCCTCCCCTCCTTTCTTCTCCCCCCTCCTCCAACCGCCCCTAATCCCTAATCCCTCCAGCTCCCCTGTCCGTTTCCCCAGGGAGTAACCTGGGCCGGTCCCTTGATCCTCAACCCATGAGTGAAACAAGTGTGTTCTATTAGTTGAGAGAGGTCGGTCAAGTGATCGGGCCCGTCTTGCGGGTTTGCCCCGTTCTTCTTTTCGTCGTTATCCTCAGTCTCCTCCTCATTCTCCGTCTTCCTCCTCTTTGTCATCGGGGCCCCGAGAAATCCACGCTGCGACCTGAGCCCGATGGCAAACCCGCGAGCGGGGGCATCGGAAAGCAGAGGAGGCCAAGGGCTGGGTCCACGATCGCCCCTCTCACGAGGCATTGATGGGCGCTAGCGCGAGGTCGCTCGTGTACCCGAGTCAATTTCTTTACATTTGAAGTTCTCAAGCACCCTGTCCATGATAGGGCCTACCTCGAGGAGTGGCGCTACGCGGAAAAGATGTATGGAGTGCTCCTCCTGCTGCTTTTCTTCCTCCGCCTTCCCCCCTCTCTCTATGCATCCCTCCCCCTCTCCCTCCATGCCGCCTCCCTCCCTCCTCCCCTCTCTCCCCTCAGATGTTGTGTCGACCTCCTCAGCCTCCGCCGTCGTCACCGTTGTCGGGCTCCCTTGGAGCCGGTCCCGCCCGCCGCGCTGCCATGGCGCCGCAGCCTTCTCAGCCTCTGCTTCCGAAGCAGCTGGGCGGCTTACCACGGCCTTGGTATCGCTCGGACGTGTGCATTTTTCCTCGGCGAGAGCCATCGAGGACCATCCTGGACCATCGAGCAGAAAAAAACACGCACGAAACCGACGAATGCACGGGAATTTGGGCGTCCGAGCGACGGCAAGCAGCCCGCAGCCCGTCCCTTGCGCACGCAAGCGCCGTTGCGCTCCGCCCGTGCGCGGCTCCCGCGAAGTGGGGGGCGAGGGTGGGGCACGGGGAGGGGGGGCCTCCTCCTCCTGCTCCCTCCTCCTCCTCCTCCGATGAACTTGTCAAAGCCCCCGAAGTCTTTGATGGCAACCATAAGAATGAAACACCAGAAGAACATCTGAGGATCTCTTCACACCGCTGGCGCGCTCGAGTCAAGGGCCCTAAAGGGTTTGGGCCAAAACGTAACAGTACGCTCTCTATGCTACAGTCATGCTCTGCACAGCACAAGATGTACAGGGTATATCTCACACCTCCTCCTCCTCCTGAACCTCTTCCTCCTCCCCCTCCTCCTCCTCCTCCTCCTCCTCCTCCTCCTCCTCCTCCTCCTCCTCCTCCTCCTCCTCCCCCTCCCCCTCCTCCCCCTCCTCGTCCTCCTCCTCCTCCTCCTCCTCCTCCTCCTCCTCCTCCTCCTCCTCCTCCTCCTCCTCCCCCTCCTCGTCCTCCTCGTCCTCCTCGTCCTCCATCTCCGCCTCGGGGGAGGGGAGGGGAGCAGGATGCCGCCTCCCAGCACCCGAGGTGTGCGCGCGCACGTCATGCGGGACACGGCCACCTCGTGTGAGTGTGGCAGCCTCGGGTTTTTTTGGGGGGGCGTGCATGCGCGGCAGCTCCTCCGTGGCTCTGAAGCGTCGCCCTTCACCCGCTGCCGGTGCTGCCGAGCCGCGATGGCGGAGAAGCGCGTGGATCCCGAGGACGGCACTGCGTGCGCCCAGGGGGCGAACGGACGCGGGGGCCAGTGCCAGGCCAGCCACAACTGGGGGAGCTGTGGTCCTTACCCCCCTGGGGGACCCATCGATTTCGCCACCCCTCTCGAGAGATCGTCAAGGCGATGTGTTCCCCCAGGGGGGTGAGGACCACAGCTCCTCCAGTTATGGCTGGTCGGAGTGCTAGCGGGATTATTGTAATGATGACGATGACGATGACGGCCATGGCGGTTTTGAGGTCGAGGATGGTGATGCTGCCGATGATGCCGAGGGTGGCGATGAGGAGTATCATGGAGGTGGTTGTGATAATAATGCTGGCGACGATGCTGACAATGAAGATGATGATGATGCTCATGATGCTGATGACGATGATGATGCTGATTCTAATGACGATGACGATGATGATATTGCTGCTGATGATGATGGTGATGATGACGATGATAATGGTGATGATGATGATGATGATGATAATGCTGATGACGAAGAAGGCCATGATGATGCTGTTGATGCTGATGCTGATGAGGGTGGTGCTGATGGTGATGCTGCTGATGATGGCGATGGTGACGATGTTGATGTGGATGCTGATGGTATGCTGATGATGACCGTGATCATGCTGGTGATGATATTGATGATACTGATGCTGAAAATGATGATGATGCTGCTGTTGATGCGGGTGATGATGTTGATGATGCTGATGATGATCATGATGCTGACGATGGTGATGCCGATGCTCATGATGCTGATTACGATTATGATGCCGATGTTGACGGTGATGACGATGATACTGCTGATGCTGTTAGTGATGATGATGATGATGATGATGATGATGATGATGATGATGATGATGTTGATACTGATGATGATGATGATGATGATGATGACGATGCTGCTGATGCTGATGATGAGGCTGATGGTCATGATGATGACCATGCTGATTCTGCTGATGATGACTAATGGTACTGTCGATAACAGAATGATGCTGATGATGCTGACGATGAGTATGATCATGATGAAGATGATGATGATGCTGATGCTGATGATAGTGATGATGCTGCTGACGATGACCTGGTGACGATGACGATCACGATGCGGATGACGATGCTTACGATGATGATGACGATGATGATGGTGATGCTGGTGATGATGATGATGATGATGATGATGATGATGATGATGACGCTGGTGCTGGGACTGATGGTGCTGATGATGATGATGATGGTGATGATGATGTGGATGGTGATGATGCTGATTATCATACTGATGCTGATGCTGATGATGCTGATGGTGATGCTGTTTACGATGATGCTGATGACGATGATAGTGCTTATGATGATGCTGATGATGATGATGGCGATGCTGATGATGGTGATGATGATGATGCAGCTGATGATGCTGATGATGATGATTCTGATCGATGGCGATGACGATGATGATGCTGATGATGCTGATGATGATTATGCTGCTGATGATGATGCTGATGGTGATGCTGATTATGTTGCTGCTGATGATGATGACGATGATCCTGTTGCTGCTCATGATGACTATGATGCGGATGATGGCGATGATGATGATACTGATGATTTTGATGATGATATTGATGATGCTGATGATGCTGATGCTGATGATGCTGATGTCGATGACCCTGATGATGATGGTGATGATGATGATGATGATGATGATGGTGATGGTGTTGATGATGATGATGATGATGATGATGATGATGATGATGATGATGATGATGATGATGATGAGGGTTGACGATGCTGATGTTGCTGATGTTGATAATGATGATGCTGATGATTATGCTGCTGATGATGATGATGATAAGGAGGAGGAGGAGGAGGATGGCGATGATGATGGTTACACGACGGAGGAGGCTGCTGCTGCTGATGATCCTATTGAAGTGTTAGTACTGGTGGTGTTGATGCTGCTGATGAGGCTGTTTGCTGCTGGTGAGGGTGACGATTGTGCTGATACTGGTGGTGATGATGCTGTTACTGATCATGGTGCTGTTGACGATGATGGTGACGATGACGATGCCGATGATGATGCTGATGACGTTGATGATGCTGATGATGATGACGATGATGATGATGATGATGATGATGATGATGATGATGGTGATGATCATGACGATCATGATGCTGCTGATGATGCCATTTATGATGATGGTGACGATGATGATGACGACGATGTTTTTGCTGATGATGCTGGTGATGATGCTGATGCTGATGGTGATGATGCTGGTGATATTAATGATGATGATCACGATGGTGGTTGGGTTGGTGGTAGTGGTGGAGGTGGTGATGATGCCGATGATGACGATTATGATGATTGTGATGCTGATGATGATGCTGATGATGATGATGATGATGATGATGATGCTGATGGTGATGATGATGATGATGATGCTGATGATGATGATGGTGATGATGACCATGCTGATGCTGATGATGATGATGATTCTGATGCTGATGCTGATGATCATGATGATGATGACGACGACGATGATGCTGATGATGCTTATGACGATGATACTGATGATGCTGCTGATGCTGATGATGATGCTGCTGCTGATGGTGATGCTGCTGATGATGGCGATGGTGACGATGTTAATGTGGATGCTGATGGTATGCTGGTGATGACCGTGATCATGCTGGTGATGATATTGTTGATACTGATGCTGAAAATTATGATGATGCTGCTGTTGATGCGGGTGATGATGCTGATGATGATCATGATGCTGACAATGGTGATGCTGATGCTCATGATGCTGATTACGATTATGATGCCGATGTTGACGGTGATGACGATGATACTGCTGCTGCTGTTAATGATGACGATGGTGATTATGTTGATTCTGATGATGCTGATGATGATGATGATGACGATGCATCTGATGCTGATGATGAGGCTGATGGTCATGATGATGACCATGCTGATTCTGCTGATGATGACTAATGGTACTGTCGATAACATAATGATGCTGATGATGCTGACGATGAGTATGATCATGATGAAGATGATGATGATGCTGATGCTGATGCTAGTGATGATGCTGCTGACGATGACCCGGTGACGATGACGATCACGATGTGGATGACGATGCTTACGATGATGGTGATGGTGATGATGGTGATGATGATGATGACGCTGGTGCTGAGACTGATGGTGCTGATGATGACGATGATGGTGATGATGATGTGGATGGTGATGATGCTGATTATCATACTGATGCTGATGATGATGATGATGATGCTGATGGTGATGCTGTTTACGATGATGCTGATGACGATGATAGTGCTTATGATGATGCTGATGATGATGATGATGGCGATGCTGATGATGGCGATGATGATGATGCAGCTGATGATGCTGATGATGATGATTCTGATCGATGGCGATGACGATGATGATGCTGATGATGCTGATGATTATGCTGCTGATGATGATGCTGATGATGATGCTGATTCTGTTGCTGCTGATGATGATGATGACGATGATTCTGTTGCTGCTCATGATGACGATGATGCGGATGATGGCGATGATGATGATACTGATGATTTTGATGATGATGCTGATGGTGCTGATGATGCTGATGCTGATGATGCTGATGTCGATGACCCTGATGATGATGATGGTGGTGATGATGATGATGATGATGATGATCATGATGATGAGGGTTGACGATGCTGATGTTGCTGATGCTGATAATGATGCTGATGATTATGCTGCTGATGGTGATGATGATGAGGAGGAGGAGGAGGAGGAGGAGGATGGCGATGATGATGGTTACACGACGGAGGAGGCTGCTGCTGCTGATGATGCTATTGAAGTGTTAGTACTGGTGGTGTTGATGCTGCTGATGAGGCTGTTTGCTGCTGGTGACGATGACGATTGTGCTGATACTGGTGGTGATGATGCTGTTACTGATCATGATGCTGTTGACGATGATGGTGACGATGACGATGCCGATGATGATGCTGATGACGTTGATGATGCTGATGATGATGACGATGATGATGATGATGATGATGATGATGATGATGGTGATGATCATGACGATCACGATGCTGCTGATGATGCTATTTATGATGATGGTGACGATGATGATGACGGCGATGTTTTTGCTGATGATGCTGGTGATGATGCTGATGCTGATGGTGATGATGCTGGTGATATTAATGATGATGATCACGATGGTGGTTGGGTTGGTGGTAGTGGTGGAGGTGGTGATGATGCTGATGATGACGATTATGATGATTGTGATGCTGATGATGATGCCGATGATGATGATGCTGATGGTGATGATGATGATGATGATGATGATGATGATGGTGATGATGACCATGCTGATGCTGATGCTGATGATGATGATGATGATGATGATGATGATGATGATGATGATGATGATGATGATTCTGATGCTGATGCTGATGATCAGGATGATGCTGATGATGACGACGATGATGCTGATGATGCTTATGACGATGATGCTGCTGATGCTGCTGATGCTGATGATGATGCTGCTGCTGATGATGACGATCATGATCTCGAGGCCTCTTTGGCGCCTCTCTTTGATCTTTAGTCCATCTCGGAAGGGATACTTTTAGTTTTATTGGGGTAAGGCGTTTTTTACCTAACAGCTCTTGCTGAGGGGTTTCTAGTGGTCTCAAAAGAGAGCATCATGACTCCTCAGGGGGGTCTGGGCGGGACCCGGAAAGGCTGCCGCCGAAGCCGAAATCGCTTGGGACATCCTCGCAAAATCGCTCTTGGTGCTCCCAGAACTCCATTCCCGGGCCACATTTTGGATGCCCGGAGCCAACTGTAGGCCACTTCGTGCTCTTCGACTTCCCAGAACTCCATTCCCGGGCCACATTTTGGATGCCCGGAGCCAACTGTAGGCCACTTCGTGCTCTTCGATTCCCAGAACTCCATTCCCGGGCCACATTTTGGATGCCCGGAGCCAACTGTAGGCCACTTCGTGCTCTTCGAGTTC